TTTAAGATGGTGACACAGAACTATTAGAGAACGAAATTCTGAACGTTTTCCATAAACTGATGAACTGATATTTGGAGAAAGGACGAGTTAACTATACGAGACAGAATTCAAACGACCTCTTTCTTAGTTCAAAGTTTTGAAGATTCTCTGGGGTGATGCAGGACTATGTAATTATAGGCGTCCAGAGTGAGAAAATCATCAAGTGTTGGGGAGGTGCATTGGCGAGTGAAGATCTTGCAAGCCTCCTTGTACATTCCCTTCTTCATCTTCTCTCTCCCCACTTCCTTTTCAATCCTTCCCATCTCTTCTTCAACCACCCTGCCGAAAAGTTCTCTGTTCACTCTAACTCCAACTTCATCCCCATTCAGTTCCACTCCATACTTGAGCCACTGCCAGTTCTGCACCCTGCTAATCTCAGCAGTCGCAGCATCTTCCATCAGGTTGTAAAGAGGCACCGAACCGCTTCCGCTCAGCCATGCTGCCACGTACTGAATCCCCACCCTTGTGTTCAATCTCAGACCTTCCATAGTGCGGGCTCCTCTTGGTGTCTGCAATAGGTCTTCTTCAGTTATGTTTTCAGCATCTTCACGTTGGTTTGTCTCTATCTGGTTTGGAGCATTGCCCATGATGTTGTTGAAAACCTCCATGCAAGCTGGAATGAGACCAGGGTGTGCAGCCCAAGTCCCATCGTGCCCTGCCTTCACTTCTCTAAGTTTGTCCTTCCTCACAAGTTCCAGTGCTAACTCATTAGCCACCGGATCCTCTTTGATTGGAATCTGCGCCGCCTGTTGAACAGCTTCAACTTTTCAATCTATAGATACCCCTTTGCTTAGAGGTTATAAACAAGCATGCCAAGTAGTAAACCAGAGAAGTTCCATTACGTACCATTCCTCCCATCGCGTGCACACCGCGCCTGTGACACGTCCTTATGAGAAGATCAGAGTAGCTTTTCATGAAGTGTTGAGTCATACCAACCTGCACCCTATCTGGTAGGAGGCGATCTGGGTGAGCTTGGAAGGTCTTCACATAACTGAAAATGTAATCCCAACGTCCACAGTTCAGACCCACCGAGTGTTCCTTCAGTTCATACAGAATTTCATTCATTTGAAACACTGCAGGAAGTGTTTCTATCAGAACCGTCGCCCTTATGCTTCCTCTTTCGATGCCTGCCACCTTCTCGGCCTTCTCAAAGACGTTGTTCCATATCTTTGCTTCCCTATCAATCACAAAGTTCTCGTGTTACTTAAATGTTTTTTTATGTTGTTCTCAAATCAGAGTCGCAATTTCACCTTTCTTATACAGGGTTCTTAATATATAGTTTTTTTTTTTACCTTGAATGCTCCATTTTGGGAAGATAAAAGAAGGGGCCAAAGCCAGCACCTTGAATGCGCCGAAATTCCGAGTGATTGTGATAAAAAAAGAGGCCAAAATCAACAATGCAACCGGTTGCAGGTTCACCATCAATGAATATATGTGCCTCGGGTAGGTGCCAACCTCTCGGTCGCACAAAAAGCTTTGCTGTTGGATGATTGAGCTTGTAAACCCTGTTTCTTACTTTGTCATGGAAGCTTATGGTTCCATCCACGGCATCCTTCAAGTTCACTTGGCCTCTCATAAGATTTTCCCAGCTGGGTGACAGTGCATCTTCAAAATCAGCCTTAGAAAAAAGAAAAAAAGAAAAAGCAGTTGGTGAAAAGCAAGTGTAAAAAAATTTTTGATGGTGAGTAGATGTACTAACCATGAAGACTTTAGCACCAGAGTTGAGAGCATTGATGATCATCTTTCTTTCGACAGGACCAGTGATTTCCACTTTCCTATCTGCAGCAGCTGGTGGAACAGGTGCACACACCCACTCTTGCTCTCTTATGTACCTGGTGGCAGGATCGAACCCCGGAAGAGCCCCTTCATTGTACCTCCTCTTTGCCTCTCTTCTCTTCTCTAATGCATACTTGATATGGTTCCTGAACTCACGTTGAAGCTCAGCAACGAATTTCAAAGCATCTTTTGTAAGGATTTTTGCAAACTCTGCATCATATCTTCCCCGAATATCCACTCCCTCTGGCACATCATAGTAAGAGCCGTTGCTTCCAAACTCCATCTTCTTTTTCGTGTGAAAAATACAATGTGACACGAGAACAAGGGTTGTGTTGAATTTATATACAACAAGTAGTTCACTTGGGAAGTGTGGAATGCTGTGGGCTGCATTTGGCGCTACTATCGTGTTTGGATTTGCGTTAAAGGAAGATGTAGCTTCCACGGATCCATCTGACGTGATTTCTCTGAAATACGTAATCCTTCTAACTATGTCTTCCTAACACAAAATGCTTAACCCAAATTTTGTCAGTATTCGCGGGCACAACAAATATAAGAGAGAATGCGATATTTCTTATCTTGGGCTTACCAAGCCCATATTCCATCCAACAACAAAGCCCTACACCATATATCATTAAGATTCTTGTGAACGTAAATACTCACAAATTTCACGTCAACTCAGTGATTGAGGGTCTTCATATTTTGGGTCTTCAAAGTTTGGGCAGAAATCTTCCAACGAAAACATGTGAATGGATAGAGATTCATATATTCAGATTTAGTTTATGTATTGCGTCCTCTATAAGTTCTTTATTTATTTAAAGGCGAAAAAAATTCTAGAAAATTAATAATAAAAGCACAAAAAATGTATAAAAAACGAGAATAAGTCCACGCATTAATCCTTCTATAAAAATCTAAAAAGATAAGTACAGAAAACATATATTTGGTATTTTCGAAACATATTTGATTATGTAATAAATATTAATAAAATATTTATAAAAATAATTATATTTTCGATTCAAATCGCTTATATTATATATATTATTGATATTTACGTTAAATAATAAAAACATTTATTATATCTTTTATGTAATTATGTTTTAAACATAACTAATTATATTATTATTTTCTTATTAATATTTATAATTTTTCTTTATTATGAAAAATAAATAACTAAAATATAATTAAAATAATAAATAAAATAATAAATAAAATAATAAAAGTATTAGTGGTGAATGACCTTGTCTCTAGTGCCCTTCACGTCGAGGTATAGACATATCGAGTTTGATAGTAGAAATGGGTGGTCTGATAGTGGTCCGACAACGAGTGGAATAAAAATACCAAAAAACAAGAAATATCGCTAGGATAGACTCTAACTATGACTCTAATACCATATTAGAAAATGAGTTTTAAAGCATAATTCATCTCCACAAAACCCGACTTGTTGATAAGTATGAAAAATACATGTTTTCAGACTTATTAATTAATTCAAAATTTGTATTTATTCATTTATACCTTTGGAGAGAACGATATTTTTACTTATTCATTATATTACTTATAACGATTTGGTTACATCTCATTTATATATTATAATTTGATCTTATCTGTAGTCGATGTGTGACTTTCAGCAAATTTTAATTTTAATTCTTTACTTTGTATGCTCGAAAATAAAGTATAATTTATTATTAACGTATGGTCACACCTTTCTTTTTTTTTTCATTGTCACTATCCCTGTTTGGCACTTTTATTAAGTGGGAGATGCTTGATTGACAACTATCAAATTACTCTGCATCCGTTTTATTATTATTTTATTAAATAATATAATTATATTTGTTTATTAAAAAAACAGTTAATAAACTTGTTTTTATGTCAAAATATTTTTTTATCAATTATGGCCGACTTGAATCCATAACTAATGGGAGTCTAAACTTTCACGTGTAATTATATACTAAATTTTAATGTTTTATATAAATTAATTAAGATTAAATCAAATGGTGATATATGATTAAATAATATTGTTTAGATTATCATTTTTTTGTTATATCTTACATTTGCAAACATTAAAATATTATAAATAAAAATTTAATTTATTATAAAATATGAAGCATCATTATGTTATAAATATAAATATTTAATTTTTTTAACAATATATATATATATATATATATATATATATATATATATATATATATATAATTAACAGTTCTCTAAGAAATGTTAATAGTGTAATTATATTAAAGACATCCTCTTTCTTATGATTTTTTATTATGTTAAAGTAAATAATATTGTCAATTATCATTTGTTTTAAAATTAGATTTGGATTTGAATTGGATAGACTGTATATGGATTTAGATTAGTATAATTTCATTTATAAAATAATAATAGAATCCATAAATCTTTTTCTACTTTAGGTTTTAAAGATTTAAGATAATATGGTGTGTGAGAAATTTTCAAAACTTTTTAAAATTTTTGTTTAGTTTAATATATGTTTTCGTTTCTTAGTTTGTTAGTATTGTTTTAAAGTGATCCTTAGTTTGTTAGTTTTGTTTAAAGTGATGGTGTTATTTTTTTTGAGTTGTTCAAAATGTTTCTATATTTTTGTAAAAATTGTTTAATTTAATTCTTTTTACTGACAATATTTAAAACACTATGACCTATGCAGTTTTGAAATACACAACAACATCAATCTAATTAACATAACAAAGATTAAAACCTTCCAATATACACTTATTTAAAAATGGTATTGCATTTAAATCTGCATTTTGAAAGAAAAATTTTTAGATTAAATTTTAAATGAATTTCTCATTAATTTCGTATTGTCAAACAATACTTCACATAGACTACTGTCTCAATTGTTTTAACAAATCAATAATTTTTAAGTGTCAATGATGGTGGAGACATAAACCTTAATCTATATATTTCTTATCTCTCTAAGTGGTTATTTTTCACAATGGAATGAATTGTTTTTTCAAAATTTATAAAATTTATTTAATTGACTTCTAATATCCCATGATTCTTAATAATTTATAAGTTCGCATTCTACTTAAATTCACATTAAATTCTTTGAATCAAAATACAAAGAATTTATATATATATATTTTTTAACAATATATATATATATATATATATATATATATATATATAATAAAAAAATGATTTTTACTAGAGGTTATTTCGTAGAGGTTATAAAAACCCTCTGCAAATTAATTTAATCGAAGATCTGTCTCATGAATTATCTAAAAGCTATTCATTGCGGGGGTTTTAAACTTGTTTTGAAGAGGTTCACGAAATTCCGAAAATATTAAGTTAAACTTTTCAGTTTCCCCCACTTTCATTTCATTTTCAGCTTTTCCTCTACCCGCTCTCTTAACGTTTTCAGCTTCTTGTTTTTCCCTCTTCTTCTTTCCTTTTTACCTAATGCGTTCATCAAACCTAAACATGAGGAGTTTATCTCGTAGAGGAGATTGGCATTGAACTGGAGGAAGGAGTCGCAGACCTGTTATGAGGTGATTCTGCTCTACGCCGAAGATGCCGATAGTTTCCTCGATGCTGGGAGGGGAGAAGCCTTCGTGGATAAGGGAGGTTATGAGGGGCGCCAACTGGTACCAGAGGCGTAGGCGGTTGGCGAGGATTTCTATGCGGCCGATGATGTCGAGGTTTTCGTATTGCGATGGAAGGGGTTCCGGCGGAGGGCGGAAGAGTTGGTAGACTTGCTATTGCAGCGGCGGAGGCGACGGTTGATGCTTCTTGAAGGAAGAAGGGATTTAGACGACTTACAAGATGACTTTGGAAATAAGGGTGAGTATGGCCGCGAAGAGGTTGAAAGGTAGGATTCATTTGCCCTCATTTTTCTTTTGATTGAAATGGTGGGGTGGGCCTTTTGGTAGAAAAGAAAGTGGTCATGTATTAGGTATAATTGATTATGCAGTGTATTCTGTTAGAAATTTTGCTACTTGAGTTCTTCTGGCAATTTGATGAAATAAGTATGCCGTTGGTTATACAGGCTGGAATAATTTCTCCCAATAAACTAAGGATGAAGTTGTCAGGGCCTCACCATAGTAAGAATCTGTTCATTGTCCTGTTAATGTCATGTATTTTTTTGTTGTCTCAGGTGCAAACCATGACTGTAGGTTCTATCCTTTTTTTGCTTGGTTATGTTAAATTAATGTTGCATTGTTTTGCATTAGTTTCTGAATCATGATATTGTCTTCATAGGTTCTGCTAAGCTTGGCCAAAAGCAACCTGTGTATAGGAAATCCATTGACACATTCAGCTAGAGAACTTCTCAGTCTAGAGGTGTGACAAGGTTGGTTACTTCACTTCACCTCATCCCTTTATCTCTCTAATAATTTCTTTTGTCACCATGGAAAAAATCTGAACTTTCATGTAAACTCACGAAACTATTACTGCTAGGTTGAATCTAGTTGCATCTTTGTAATGAGTTGATTTGGATTTTACAACAAATTGCCTTTCTTGAGTGTGTACCTTTCAATGATAGTTGTAAATTCAAGTGATATGTAAGCATTATAATTAGTTCTTTATCTCTATGATTTCTTTCCAGTTTTCCATGTTCTATTAAAATTATCCTAACATGGTTTATATTATATTGTAATTTGATTAATTTTTCTCTATATGATGAAGAAATCATAGGCTATGGATGAACTCCAACAAAGCATGTTTTAATCATAGTTACACTAACATATAATTCTTCATTTTCTATCCCATTATGTTCTTGGTGTTTGGCCTTTGGTCCTTGAAAGATGCAATGTTTGAATAAGGGTGATTATTGTTTATCCATCACATCAGCTTGGTCACCGTTTTCTATTGACAATAAGCTTTAATCTTGGACTTATGTTTAATGATTTTATTTGATGGACAGGGGTGTTGAAGAATTGGTTGAGGTTGAAGCTAAATTGATTAATATTTTTACCTTTTTTTTTCTTTTGTTTCTTAGTTATGTTGATATTTTATTGTCTTCTTGATGACACCTCTGTACGCTATTAGGATAAAGGTTGTAAGGCTAACGATGGAGTTGCAAAAAATATCAACAAGGTAAGATAATATCTGTTTTATTGGATTTATACATAAATTGAGACATTGTTTGATTCATCCTTGATTCTTATTTCTAAGATTATTTTTGTTTACACAGTTGGTATGTTCTGCTTCTAAATCAGTTATAGCATCTTGCTAAAATCGTTATTTATTGCTGATTAGTTATGGTTTTCTGAATGTTTGTGTGCTTGATGCCATATATCGTATAAAGAGTATTAGTTGCTGTAGTGAAAAAGAAACCGGTGCATTCCAGCTGTTTCAAGAATAATTTCTTATATGACTATTTGCAGGTTGATTTTTCTTATACACTTAGATTGCAGTAACTTCATTACTTCTTTTCAACTCTGGTCTTAAAAGAGGAAGTTCTTCTTCCAGTACTAATACTTCATTCTTAGGAATTGTGCTTCATATATATATATATATATATATATATATATATATATATATACACACACACCTCTAATAATAGATATTAAATATTATATTACTTCATTATTGATTACTGATGGCAAATCAAAAGTTGCAGGGGAAGTAAACTTGTGCTCTGAATATTATAGTGTTGTTTGTAAGTAATCCTGATGCCTATGTACTCCAAGATGTTTGTCTCACATTTTTGGGTATTTCTTTTAAAATTACGTGCTCCAAAATAAATAAATACATATATATATATATATATATATATATATATATATATTTATGTATGTATATATTTGACATAAAAGGTCAACTATTGCATTGCAGAGAGGAGTGTTCCATGAACGAGGATTTATAGTGTATGAAGCATTGCAGGTCCAACTCCCACAAGCAGCTACACTTCTCGAAATCCTTGATGATGCCATCAAACGCCGTCGTTGGCAATCCTCTCTTGAGGCAAAGACAATTTCATTTTAGATGCTGTCCAATTCTAAATTTAGACACAAAATAAGTCATTAATAAAAGAGGTTAAAACTCCAAAAAAACCTCCGCAATATAAATCGAATAGCAGGGGTCTCGCAAATTGTTGGAATAAAAACCTTCACTAAATAACAGTTTTTTTTAATGATATAACAGTTTTTTAAGAAATGTTAATAGTATAATTATATTAAAGACATCCTCCTTTCTTATGATTTTTTATAATGTAAAAGTAAATAATATTGTCAATTATCATTGATTTTAAAATTAGATTTGGATTTGAATGGGATAGAATGTATCAAGGTTTAGATGAGTATAATTTCATTTATACAATAATAGAATTTATAAATATTTTTCTACTTTAGTCTTTAAAGAATTAAGATAATATGGTGTGTGGAAATTTTCAAAATTTTTGTTTGGTTTAATACCTATTTTGATCTCTTAGTTATTTAGTTTTGTCTAAAGTGATCCTCTTATTTTTTGAGTTGCTCAAAGTATTTTCATGTTTTGTAAAAATATTCAATTTGATCCTTTTTGCTGACGGCGTTTAAAACAATAACTGCGTAATGCGTAATGTTCATCTTAACCAATAATGAGTGACGTATGCAATTTTGAAATACGTGACAACATTAGTCTAATTGTGACAAGATTAGAATGCTTTCAATATACACTCATTTAAATTGGTATTGCATTTTGAAAGGAATTTTTTTTTTATTAAGTTTTGAATGAATTTCTCATAAATTTCGTATTGTCAAATAATACTTCACAAAGACTTTCCTTCTCCAGCAGCACCTATCGGTACAGCAACTTCGTACCTATCCCTATCGGGGGAGGCTTGAGCTAGAGCAAAGTCTTCTGCTTTACGCCCTCCCTAAGCAGACCAAGCTTCCTTAGCGTACTGAGACTACCTATTCATAAGTATGACAGTCTCAACCCTTGAGTACGAAAGTAGGCTCTTCCTTTATTAGATAACGCTATTATTCCCATCCCGGGAGAAACAGAAAGAAGTACGTTGACGACAACAGATTCTATAGCTTGGGATCTTGCTAACAATGAAACTCTAAGTGTCAATGATCATTAAGACATAAACCTTAATCTTTATATTTCATATCTCTCTAACCGATTATTTTTCACAATGGAATGAATTATTTTTCAAAATTTATAAAATTTATTTAATTGAGTTTTAATACCCCATAATTATATGATCCTTAATATTTTATAAGTTCACATTCTACTTAAATTCACATTAAATTCTTTGAATCAAAATACAAACTTAAGTAATGTATACTCTACAATTTTGTAAAATTTTGTAAGAATATATTATAATCTAATTTTGAATTTTTCCGGTAAACTAGATAATACTTTGAAATGAATTAATAAGTATCCAAGTACATAATTAACTCAATCTCAAAAGTTAGTCAAGAAGAAAGAAAAATAAAGACTTAAATACACGAAAATATAAGACTTCATCATCTTATAATATTATTTCTTATCACAATGTCATGTTGCCTTCATGGTCTTCCATAAACCTAAGCAACCAATCACACTCTTGCTTTTCTTATTCATTTTTCTAGTGCTGTACTTATGGATCTTCAAAAAAGAGTTATACATTAACATCATATCGGTCACCAATGAATAAAATTACACCAAACTGCGGCAAAAGAGTTATACATTATCATTAGATTTAAGAATTCTATGCTAAGGTGTGGTAAGCTTTGTATTAAACCTAGTTTATACTCTCTCTTTTTTCTGATCTTTAGTAGAAAATAAAATATTTATTAATTAAGCAATATGGATAATGATATATATGAAAGTAAATAACAGACACACGTGATTAACATATTCAATCTAAAATTGAATTATTCTAGTACTATTTGATTTCGACACTGGAAAGAAATAATTTGCTAAAAATAATTTTTAACAAGATTTATTTGATACAAAAAAGAAACTCTATGCATTAAAAAGTGGGGATATGATGGAAAAACGTTTTGAGCAGAAAAGTATAAGATAGAAAAAGTAACAGTAGAACTCAACCCTAGTTTCTAAAGTTGCATATATAGTTGAGTTGTGACGTGGGGTTGAAGTAATACCATGCCTAAGCTTCTATTTTCTATAGTTTTTGTCACACTTGGTCTTGAATTTTTCTCCTTTTCCTTTTCTTTCGGCTAATAGTAGTACTCCTTATCTCTCTTTGTGAGCAGCCACAATAGAAGAAGTAGAAACAAACGGGTAACTTGAAAAGAGTTTGAATTAAGATTTTGGTAAGAGAAGATGAAGTTAGGCACATGAAGAGGTTACAAGTCCTAGAAAGTATCTAGACATTTGTTTATATTTTATGGCACTATCGTAATGTGGGGTTCTAGAATTAAGATGACATGTTCAGGAGTAGAAAACAAACACGACCCATCCCTATCTGCATATAATATTATACCTCTATTCCTTACTACATATATGCTGACTTCTGCCCAAGCCACATGAGGAAAATTCTTGAATACCTGTCACGTACCTACAGGTGGCAAAAACAGCAGATTATTATGATTTAGAATGACTTAAGAATGAGATAAAATATTAGCGCACCAAGAATAGGATACCTCATGCAATTTATGTATATTTGATCTCCAAAGATTCTATAGTTGCTTTTATAAGTGTCCAAATCTGGTTGGCTTTTGATGCTCTAATTATGGAGGGAGTCTCTTCTTTGTATCTAAACATGGCAAGCAAAACACTGTGCAAATTCTGCATGTGGTCTGCGTCATTTCTTTTTCTTTTATATGTATAAAAGGAAAAAATCAACGTCTTTATCTTCTAGATATATAGCATGCACCCTGTTATATATAGAAAGATTTGTGTTTTTGTTTTTTAATTTGTTTAATCTTTTGTTAGACTTTGTTAATAACGCCTTCAACCATAGAAAGAGATGTCATTCATGGCTGAATTTGACATGAAGATGGACTTCAGAGAACTAGAAGGAAAATCCAATTTTAAAAGTGTATATGTGAGGTATGTGTAAGATGCAACGAGTCGGATTGGACACGCATAATATCTACAACTTAATTTGAAAAAAAAAATTTGCCCACCATTCGTTACCTATATGGATATTCGCTTAAAAAATGTCTACGAGTATTTTAAAATTTGTGGATACCTACAAATATTTAGAAATGTATTTTTATAAATTATTAAAAGAAAATTTAAATGAAATTACAAAAATGTATAAAATATAATATAATATAAATTAGATATAAATTAAAATTTAATTTTAATTAAATTTGAATTTATAAAATATAAACTAATTTAAATTTAATTAAATTTAACTTAATAAAATATAAATTAAATTTTAATTTTTTGCGGGTAGCATATATTCGCCGGCGGATAATATAATATTCTCACCCGATCTGTTTATAAGTGGGTATTAAAGTACCCGTTTACCCGCAATCTGTGAATAGTAAATATCTACAATACTAATTATTCGTCGCGGATTTTATTCATAGAAGTGAGAATTTTTTTTGTCATATAAGTGAGTGTGTTATGTAGGCATTTGATTATGTTTTTTTTTTTCATCTATATAATTAGATTGTAGATAGAGTTGGTCTTCTTGAAACGATACCAAAAGGTTGAAAATTTAAGGATTTCTTTTTAGATAATTATGAAACTGTTATTGTTTATTTCATGATTTTTCTAAAATAATACACTGGTTTAGACTATATACATTCACGTGAAAGATAGGTAAATGTTTGTCCTTGTATGGACAAAAGTTTATAATAAATTAACATTTTTAATACGATTGAGGAGTTGTATTGTGTTGATTTTGATTTGTTTTTTACTAATTTTAAATATATTTCTTCACATTGTTTGTAGTTACTCCCCACAAATTCTGTCCTCCACGCACTGACAAAACTTTTTAAAGTAGAAATGTGAATGTGTGGTGATTAACTTGTCATGGATAATCACTTTAAGGTTTTCCGAAGGTTGTTAATGTTTATGGGTTTTCACTTTTCATTCATTACAATAATGCTTAAAAGATGCCACAATTAATGCATTCGAAAAAGGACTAAGGGGGCTATATCGAATTATCATATTATTACATGGAGGATAAGTAATTAATAATTATAATTTAAATACCGAATCAAACATTAAATGTGTGTGTATATATATTGATATTTATTATTTATTTTATATATTTATTTACTTTTTTAATTAAAAAAGAAGTTTTCTATTTTTAAGAAACAAATTCTATCTACTTATAAATATTTATTTTAAGATTAAATGGACTAATTGATAATTAAAATATGGTTTAAATTTGTTTAGTATGTCTTTAATATAAAATAAAATACATATTTATGTTTTTAATTGTAAGAGTAAGACCTAAGTGTTTAGCGATATAAGTTTTAATTGATGAATAATAAAGAAAAATACCTATAAATAAAACTATAAGAGTTCATTTATTCTTATATATGAATTTCACTTATTTAGAATATTATTCTTTTTGTGTATTCTCTCTATCTTTTTCTAAGATTTGAGTCATAATAAATTTCCTATATACCTAAATAACTAAATTGAATTGAGGATAAGAACTCACATTAATTTTCCATTTTTAATATAATTTTCTACCACTCTCCTTTTCATATTATTTAATATAAACATTGATTAATACTCACTTATAATATACGTGAGACATTGGTAAACTTCGTAAAACATAAGGCTTATTAATTGATTTGATGGATATCTACAATTCTATATCAACAATCACATAGAGTGGCACGCTTGACATGATGATTCGTTGTGTGATTTGAACCCAAAAGAAAATCATTGTGATTCGTGAGTCAGCAGCAAAACTAACTAAAATCACGGAGTAAGAGAGGGTAAATGAATAGTAAATTTCAGTTTCTGTTGAAAATGTTTATAAGAAAAAATAATTGTGTTCATATTTTTGTCACAATATCACATTGGACAATTTTCCTTTTAAATTAGTGAGTTGTGAATATTGTTCATAATTCAACCACTCTAAAAAGAAATTGTGACAATTAATATATTTTACTTTTGAGTTTTCTAAAGGATTACTTTTGAAAAACAATTATCTTTTTTATTTTATGAAGCATTCTTCGTATTA